ATGGCTTCATTGTGAGTTCAAGCTGTTTAATCTCAGCTAACCCTGAGCCAAATCCAAGACCACCCCAATCTCAATACTCCAGTATGCGTATGATGCTGTAATGTGTTCTCACTCAGAAGCAGATCTTTAGGCAATAGTCAACGTCTTTACCAAGGCATACCAGGAAATGGGGCTGAAGCTTAACATTTAGAAGATTAAGGTCCTGCATCAACAAACTCTTAATGAGCAGTCCCCTGCTCCAGTAATTCAGATTCATGTTGAGACTCAGGAGAACACTGAATATTTCCCATACCTCAGAAGCCATCTCTCGCAGAAGGCTGATATCAGTGGAGAAATCCAACGTTGCCTCAAATATGCAAGTGCAGCCTTAGGACACCTGAGGAAATGAGTGTCTGAAGATTGTAAGATCAGATCTTAAATGAAGCTTGTGGTGTATCATTCAGTTGTGATCCTGGCCTTACTGTACAGAGTTGAGAGGTGGACAATGTATAGGAGAAATCAAGTTGTTGGAAAAGTATCATCCCTCGAATCCAGTGGGATGAGAGACGCACCAAACATTAGCATCCTCTTGCAAGCAAATACCACGAGCATCGAGGCAATGATCATCTGACATCAACTTTGCTGGGCTGACCACATCATCTGGATATCCAACTCTAGACTCGTGAAGCAAGTTTTATTCTTCCAGCTTGGTCAAGGCGTAACCTCAAGAGGAGGGCAGAGAAAGCACTTCAAAGACATCCTTGAGGCCAACTTGAAAAAAATGTAACATTGACATCAACTCCTGGGAGATGATCATCCAGGACCACCACAAATGGAGGAAAAGTCTGCTGCAGGGATCTCAGTATGTTGAAAATTTATGATGACAACAGAAGATGGAAAAGTGGGAGCAGCAGAAACAACATATCGTGGATCAAACCAAGAATCTGGGGCCACCATGGAAACATGTGTCCAAGTTGCAGTAGAGCTTGTTGATCCCAAATTGGCCTCAGCAGCCATCTTTGGGCCCATAGGTAAGGCAATCATGAAGACAATCATCCTCGACTGTGAGGCATTGCCAAAGAAGAAAGAAGTGAGTTTTCATCAAACTAAAAGGAAGTTGCCTTGATAGCTGTTACATTTCCATCCCACTGCTCTGTATCTCTTTATTCAGACTTCATTGTTTCTCCCTCCTTCCTGGAGTCTGTATAAACAACCTCCTTGGAGCAGCATTTCAGGGATGCCTGGTATTTGCACCTCCACTGAGCTCCTTGTGGGCAGGAGGCTCTCAGCACGTTCTCTGAACCTCAGGCCTTAATTACCTGCCTTTGCTTTTCTTGGTCCTTCATCTCTTTCTGCATCGTGAATAATGCTAGCTAAGAACTGGTCGCAGCATGCTCTGTGCTGCTCTGAGGTTTTGAGCCATATTGAACATCATTCCTCACTGAACAATGAAAGGCTTTTTGGGCTGCTCCCATCAGACCAGAAAGAAAATTTGATTTGCAAAGTGAATGGATAGAGAGAAACCCCTCTGAGCTTTTTGGAGAAGGCCTGTGAGCGCCACTGCTTTGGATACGAATTGGTCATGCTCTGATGGCCCTGCCCTGTGAAAGGGATTCCCACTGGGACAGGAAGCTCCTCTTATTCCCCAGCTGGGTAAATAAGTCTGAAAAGTCATGGACACAAAACTCCAGTTGGAGAAATGCTGCAGGGATGCCATCCCTGCTATCCCCCCAGCTTCCTTCCACCTCCCCAGCCTCCACGTCCTGAAGAGGTGGTGGGGGAGGAAACACATAGTTCCTTTCCCGTGAAACTCATGCTGGTTTGGCAGGTAAGTTGGGACTGTTTCCATCACTTCAAAATAGTTTTGCATTTCGATGAGTCTCTTGCTACATTGCCAAAGGCCTTTAGCACTGAACGCAGGAATTATGTTTCGAGGAAGGCCAGATGGTTTCGTGGAACTTCAGATAACGGTTGATGAACCAGAGCTTGTGGGCAGAGCAGGTACACGTTTGTTTATGTTGTTTATTTGCCGTTGCAGGCGCTGAGGTCACGCGCTTGCTATCTACATTTTTCACGGGCAACTGGCATTAAAAGCTCTTTTTTGAAATGTCTGATGCTGTGTCTCATTGCAATAGGTCGCATTGGATTACTTCTCACTTACGTACCCCTATGATATCATATGTTATTTAAAGAAACAGTGGTTGGTAAATTATACCTCCCTTGCATATGACATAATACACTCTCCAGCCTCAATGGCTTTGTTTTTACATGGCAGATTAAAAAACAAAGTTAGAAATCAAATCCAGATTGAAATATTCAGCTGGAATTTAGAGTAGATGGAAGACACAGCGCAGGGATGTTGCAAATGCATCCATTGGAGATCTGTTTTGAACTGCTGGAAGGCTCCAGTCTCACGGACAAACTTTATGGGATATGATAGCTTTCAAGCACCATTTCTTTTATTACAATGCAATGGCAGCTCTTACACCTATGTTAACTGTGTTGGAATAATACCATATTTTCTTGCATATAATCTACATCTCTTTTCCCCAGAATTAGCCCCCCAAGATTGCAGTATATGTATTGACCAAGGAAGTAGGCAGGCAAGGCTCTTTGGATAGATGTGATCTCTTTTATGAGGCCAACTAAATAGATGGAAAAAAAAGTTCTTTACAAGCTTTCGGGCACAGGGAAGTTGATTTTCTGCCCAGGATCAAAGCATCCTGCTTCCTTGCTCTGTGAAGCTAACTTTTCATAGGGATTTTTGTTGTACTTCAGCTGCTCCTAGTCTTTCTCCTCATGTTTCACAAGCCTGGAGATTCTTTACCTCTTTTCAAAAGAATAGGCCCACCGATGGGGGCTGGGGTTTCAGCTTTACTTGAACAGGAAAGGGAGGATGAATCAGATGAATAAAAGGCACCATCCCTGCTCTATGCAGCCTTAACTCTGGAAAAAAGATCTTTATTCTTCATTCTGCCTTTCAGAAATAAGTTGTGTATTATATTCCAGGGTTTGTTGTATGCACTGAAAGTGACTCCCCGACTTCTGGGTATATAAACGCACTTTTCAATCAGGGATGCTTAGCAGAGTTTTTTCCTAGGATATGAACTCTGAAAAAGGCAGGATTGCAAGGTGGGGGCAGAGACACGGCCTGTCTGCAATCACAACAATATGGTCCCCTATAGAAGGAGGGCACCTGAATGGGTTGCATCTTGATTGTCAAAAAGCCCCATCAACGTGAACAGAAAATAAACACCTGAGGGATAGCCTAGTTTGCAGACCTATAATGAAGACGTTTATATTGCTAAGGAAGAAATGCACCGGATGACATAAGTCATAGACTTTTATATGCCTGGGAGTCTAGCAACTAAAAGTTGGCTTTAGGTGCAGCCATTTTCCTGAGCTGTTGGCAGTTAAAAGGCCCAAGACACTCATCAGTACACGCGCTTATTTGTCTGGCTCGGTTGATTTTCCACACACTTAGGTATCTTTTGCAATTCACTGAAAATGTTGAGCAGGTCTTTGGGCACACTTGACGTGTCATCTAAGGTCAGCCAACCACGTCCCTCTGAAAGCCTGAGCAAGCATGGAAGTAGCGCTTGGAGTTTGAACCATTAGTGAACCCCCACTAGCATTTCGATCCATTTGCACAGGTCACGGAGCACACACTTCGGGACCTAAATTAATGACACAGGGCTGCTGGCACCTGAGGCTATATTAGAGGAAACTATGCATAAGCAAGTCCTTAGTAAAAAAAAGAAAAGGAAAACGTTTTGGAATCTATTGCTCTGGGTGTTCGGTGATTTATGCCATTATTAATTCAATACTAGGCTAGTTGCATTTTGTTGAAGTTTTCATTTAAATAACAAGGTGTTACCATAATGTGTCAACAACTTACACAATCATCTGAGGCCCTAACTTCATATGTCTGTACTAAACACTCCTCTCTCAATTAATTGAATCCCTTTTCTACTGAGCAGCAATTCTGAAGAAGGATTACCGGTGCTACTGGAGAATGCCGGCATTATCTAAATATGTTAAATCATTGGCTCAATAATTTTAATTTAATTTGAGTGATTAATCAGTTACTTGGATGCAGTTATTTGCTTTAAGACATCTCAGATCAGGGAACGGAGCAGGGAGACAATTAGGAAAGCATGTGTTTTGGAAATTACCCAGCACATCTTTCAATTTACGGCACCGGACGAAAAGGAGGTGGGTATCGACTTCAGCTAATAGCAATCAAAATACTAGCAGGACACTGATGCTAATTGATGAATGAACCATGATGTTTGGAGGCACTGACCCTACAAAGATAAACAGCAGCACTTCAGGCGCTCATGGAGCACTTTTCTGGAGCCCTTGCATTTAGCAAATGCACAGAGTAACTTTGTTGTGCATGTCATAGATTCAGAGATGTTTGGGTCGGAAGGGACCTTGGCAGATCATCGAGTCCGACCCCCTGCCCTGGGCAGGAAAGAGCACTGGGGTCAGATGACCCAGCCAGGTGCATGTCCATCCTCCTCTTGAAGACCCCCGGGGTAGGGGAGTGCACCACCTCCCCTGGAGCCCCTTTCAGATTCTGGCCACCCTTACCGTAAAGACTTTCTTCCTGATGTCTAACCTGAATGTGCTCTCCGTCAGTTTGCGGCTGTCGTGCCTAGTTACTCCAAGGGGTGCCCTGGTAAACAGAGCATCTCCTGTTCCTTGCTTTCCCCCATCTGAATTTGTAGGCGGCCACAAGCTCACCTCTCAGCCTTCTCTTGCGGAGTTGAAGAGATCCAGGGCCCTTAAATTCTCCTTGCAGGGCTTTGCCTGCAGGCCCTTAGCCATCTGAGTGGCCTCCTCTGAACCCTCTCCACATTGTCCACATCCCTCCTGAAGTGCAGCACCCAAAACTAGATGCAGTACTCCAGCTGCGGCCTGACCAGTGCCGCGTAGAGGGGAAGTATCACCTCCCTGGACCTGTTCATGATGCACCTGCTAATGCACTTTGTCACACTGACAACTCGTGTTCATCGTGGAGTTAACTATGACTCCAAGATCGCTTTCTGCTGCCGTGCTGCTGAGAAGGTCCTCCCCCAGCCTGCAAGCGTGCCGGTGATTCCTTCTCCTTGCACTTCTCCTTGTTGAACGGCATCCTATTCTGTTCTGCCCACTTTTCCAACCCATCCAGATCCACTTGGATTCATTCCCTACCCTCTGGTGTGTTAACTTTACCCCATAATTTGGTATCATCAGCACATTTGGACAGCGTGCTTTCCACTCCCTTGTCCAAGTCACTGATGAAGACATTGAATGGCACCGGTCCAAGGACCGAGCCGTGCGGGACTCCACTGCCCACATCTTTCCAGGCCAATACCGACCCGTCCACCACCGCTCTCTGGGTGCGACCCCATAGCCAATTTGCCACCCACCTGACTGTAATCATCTACATCACAGCCGCTCAGTTTATTTATGAGAACAGGATGAGATACCGTATTGAAGACCTTCTTAAAATCCAAGTAGATGACATCTACTTCAACTCCTGCATCTAAGCATCTTGTGACCTGGTCATAAAAAAAAAACAAAGCTAGTCAGGCAGGATCGACCTGCTATGAATCTGTGCTGGTTGCCCTTCAGCATTAATTTTCCCGCTGGACTCCCACAAATGTGATCCTTAATAATTTTTTCAAAGGTTTTCCCAAGGATAGAGGGGAGACTAACCAGTCTACAGCTACCTGGTTCATCCTTCCTCCCCTTCTTGAAAATAGGGACCACACTGGCCCTTTCTCAGTCCTTAGGGACCTGACCTGAGCACCGCGAGCGCTCGAACAGCCGTGCCAGCAGCTCTGCTGTGACCCTGACTGATTCCTTCAGCACCCTTGGGTGAAGTTCATTCGGGTCCGCTGACTTAAACACGTCCAGCCCCTCCAAGTGCCCTTTCCCCAAGTCAGCACTAGCAGTTGGTGGGCTGGTGTCCCTCTTGTGCCTGTCTATGATCCAACTGGGAGATTTGTCCCAATCCGTGTTCAGGAATACAGAAGCAAAAAAACTCATTGAAGAGCTCAGCCTTGTCCCCCCGTCTCTGTCACCAATTGCCCTAGTTTGTCCTGTAAGGGTCTCCTATGCTGCCCTGCACCTTCTTTTTGCTCACTATACACCTGAAGAAGGACTTTGTTGTCTTTAATTTTTGTCACCAGCCTAAGATCCATTTCTGCTTTGGCCTTTCCGACTGCCTCCCTGCAAGTGTGGGCCAAGCAGGTATGCTCCGCCTTGGTAGCTACCCCCTGCTTCCACAGCCTGTTATGCCTCTTTTTTGGCCCTTAGGCTTTCCTGGATTTCCCTGTTCAGGGAAAAAGTTTTCCTGTCCCCTTTGCCCCCTTTCCTGCATGGTGGGATTGTCTTCTTCTGCACCTGTAGGATTGCTCCCTTTAGGAACGACCACCCTTCCTGGACCCCATCTCACCAATCCTCCTGTTCTTCAGTGCCTCACTAACTAATCTCCTGAGCGCACTGACATTGGCCTTTTTGAAGTTTAGTACTTTTGCCCTACTGGTTTTCTTTCCCACCCTACATTGGACAGTGAATTCAATCAAGTGGTGGTCACTGGCCCCTGGGTCACCTTGTGTCAGTAGATGCCCCACCAGGTCATCCCCTGCAGCCAGCACCAAGTCCAGTAAGGCGTCTCCTCTAGCGGGACCGTATCCCTCCTGCGTTAGGTGGAGGTCCCAGACGCAGGTTAAGAACCTATGTGAACAGATTATAGTTCCATAGTTTCATAGTTTCATAGTTTGAACGGTTGTATCTGGCTGACTGCTCCTCCCAGCAGATGTCCAGGTAGTTTAGGCCACCCAGGACAGCCATGTCCCTTGACCGTACGGCCTCTGAGAGCTGTCTGGAGAAATTCAGGTCCAACTCATCCTCCTGATGTGGCAGCCTGTAGTAGACTCCCACTGCCAAGTCCCTTTCCCCCAACCCCCTTGTATTCTGACCCACAATACCTCAATTTGCCTGTCCTCTGAACCCATCTTGATTACAGAAGTTGTATATTGCTCCTTAACCTAGAGAGCAACACCCCCCGCACCTTTTTCCCTCCTCTGTCACATCTGTACAGCCTAAAGCCCTCAATGCTTACTGCCCAATCGTGGCTAGGGTCCCACCAGGTTTCAGTTAGCCCAACTCAGTTGAAGTTCTTGCTTGCAAGCAGGAGTGCAAGTTCCTCCTGCTTGCTCCCCATGCTCCTAGCATGAGTGTAGAGATACTTGAGCCCCCCCCATGTTGGTGCCTTCAGTTCCTGGGCATGACCTGATGCGATGAAGTGTCCCGATGGGTTGACAAGGTTTCATAGCTTCTAGGGTCGGAAGGGACCTGAGCAGATCATCAAGTCCGACCCCCTGCCATGGCAGAAAGAGCACTGGGGTCAAATGACCCCAGTAAGGTGGTCATCCAACCTCCTCTTAAAAACCCCCAGGGTGGGAGCCTGCACCACCTCACTTGGAAGCTGGTTCCAGACCCTAGCCGCCCTGACCGTGAAGTAGCGCCTCCTGATGTCCAACTTAAACCTTCCCTCC